TGATGGCAGACAAAATAGTGGTAAGAAAAAGAGAACATGAAGTTGAACTATGATAAATAAGCCGTCTTTTATTCGCGAGATCAATTACACGCTCCACCTCTCTTCTGACAAAGGAAAGTGCGGCCCTTGGCGTTCTTGAGCGAGATAGTTTTTTTGTTTTCAGTTTTTTTTCGCAGTGACACGTTTCATTTCGCGAGCTTTACTGTTCATCTTTCACGGTACAGCGCCTTCTCACTTTTCTGAAAAGGCTCCCGGCTCACTCATGTTATCTGAAAAAGCACGAGGAAGTTTCCTGATACCACTTCTGCCTTTCTTCTTGCAGCATTATTTCACGGTTCGTACTCCGTCGGCCTTAAATATTTTCAACACACGACTATTGCTGTTCTCTTCAGAAACTGATTGACACCCTGATGGTGAGATTGAAAAATATAGTAGGTGCTTGTGCTTCGCATCAAGCGCAGAAAGCTATAGCGTAATTTAACCCCGTTTTCGGGAGATACCTGAACCGTGCCACAAGAAAATGAACTTCTTTGCGTTCAATATTGCCCATTTCAAATAACTATTCTGGAACTCCCAATCTAGGTACGTTCGGTAGTGCCCAGTAGGCCGCCGTAAGTAGCCATGCGCACCACCACAGCCTTACACTTCGTTGGATCTGTTGCGGATAATCATGACGAAATATCATTGCAGTGGGTGAGCTTTTAAATCTATTTTAGCACTTGGTAATGGGTGAGCATTTAAAAACCCACTAGTAGCGCAACTCGGATGTTTCGGAGCTTAGTAGAATTTGACTTTCTATCTATCTATCTATCTATCTATCTATCTATCTATCTATCTATCTATCTATCTATCTATCTATCTATCTATCTATCTATCTATCTATCTATCTATCTATCTATCTATCTATCTATCTATCTATCTATCTATCTATCTATCTATCTATCTATCTATCTATCTATCTATCTATCTATCTATCTATCTATCTATCTATCTATCTATCTATCTATCTATCTATCTATCTATCTATCTATCTATCTATCTATCTATCTATCTATCTATCTATCTATCTATCTATCTATCTATCTATCTATCTATCTATCTATCTATCTAGCCGCCTACGACTTTTAGCTCTCCTGGCCGTTTGGATAAAGGTATCAACACCAAACTTGGTATGACATAACATGACTGTATGACGAGTATATTTGACTATTCATAACATAAAATCATGATATGTCTGTCATGAACGTCATGATTTACATTTCATGGTCTTTCTGCTGTTACGGTGGTCTCGTTCACAAAACATGTTGCAAAACGGGTATGGTATGACATGATTGCATGGCAAACACAAGCGACTGACCCTAACGTAGTAATAATCACATGCATGTCATGTAAAATATGAGTCATGACTACACGCCACGCTCATGATGCGTTCGCAGCCGTCTCGCTAGGTTCACATGTATCAATTCGGCGTTACGTAATACGAATAGATTTATTTATTTATTTATTTATTTATTTTCATACTCTCAGGGCCCGAGGGCATTACAGAGAGGAGTGGTCTGACAACAATATATCAATAACTGCAATTTTGAAGGCGGCAGATTCTTCGATTGCAGCAATGGAGGCAGGAAGGTGGTTCCAGTCACTGCTTGTTTGAGGCAAAAAAGAAGCATGGCAGGTGTTAGTGCGGCATATGGGAACTTTAACTTTAAGATGATGGTCTAACCGTGGTGATACATAATCTGGGGGAAGGAAAAGATCATTTTTAAGTGTTGGATTCGTGTAAAAGATTTTGTGAAATAGGTTGAGACGGAAGTACTTACGGCGTGACTTAAGTGTTGGTAATCCTAGGGTAGCTTTCATTGAAGAAACACTCGCGTAGCGGTTGTAGTTAGAGAGCACAAAACGAGCTGCACGGTTCTGAACGGATTCAAGGGCTGTAGTTAATACGGAGCTAAATGGATCCCAAATAGAACAAGCGTATTCCAATTTCGATCTAACGAGTGTTGTGTACAATTTAAGTTTTAAATCTGAAGGAACGGATGAAAAATGACGGCGGAGAAATCCAAGCATGCGATCAGCGTTATTAATTACATGTTCAACATGCATATTCCAAGAGAGGTTGTGGGTTATATGCACGCCAAGGTAACGGTAACTAGTAACGGGGTTTAAAGAGGAGTTTTTGAGGGTATAGGAAAAATGGTCATAGACTTTATTGTGGTGCATTACTCTCATAACTTTACACTTACTGATGTTTAATTTCATGAGCCACTTGTCGCACCAGTTAGAAACAGCGTCAATGTCGGACTGCAATGTAGAAACGTCATGTTGATTATGAATGACACGATACAGTACGCAATCATCAGCAAAAAGCCTAATGGTAGAATTAATTCCGACAGGCAAATCATTAATATAAATAAGAAAAAGCAATGGAGCTAAAACCGAACCCTGTGGTACGCCTGATGTTACAGCAACGGTAGGAGAGTTATAATTATTAGCATGAACATACTGCAGACGGTTTGTTAGAAAACAGTGAATCCAGTCAAGGATGTTAGGATCTATACTTAGCTTGCTCATTTTGAGAAGAAGGAGAGTATGCGAAACAGTGTCGAAGGCTTTAGCGTAATCTAAAAAGATGCAGTCGATAATGAAATTATTGTCGAAAGCACGAAAAAGATCGTTAGTAAAAGAAAGTAACTGCGTTTCACAAGAGAAGTGCTTCCTGAAACCGTGTTGCCAAGGGGAAAAAATGAGTTGGATTCGAGAAAAGATACTAAGTTTGAATAGATGATGTGCTCGAGAAGTTTGCAGGGTACACTGGTTAAAGATATTGGCCTGTAATTGAGGGGAGAGTGGGTGTTACCTGATTTGTGAAGTGGAACCACCTTACCCACCTTCCAATCATCTGGCAAAGTGGAAGACTGCAAAGACTGCGAAAAAAGTTCAGCGAGTATAATGGAAGAATAAAGTTTTGTGTTTTTTAAGAACTTTGAATTGATGCCGTCGTTGCCTGCAGAGCTAGACAATTTCATTTTTTCTATTATACGGCACACTCCAGATGAATCAACAGATATGAAATCCATAGGAAAAAAAGAAAGGTCTTCGACAGAAGGCATAGAAAAGGGTGTTGCCCCAGAAAAACAAGAAACAAATACATCATTCATCACATTGCAGCAGTCACGATTGGAAACAGCATCACCATTGCTGTCTAGTAGGTGAAACGTTGTAGATCTGCTGCCACGAACTATATTCCAAAATTGCCGGGGATTATCTTTCAGTAGGGTGGGTAGGGTAATGTTGTGGAATACATTTTTAGCCTGCGCAATGGCATTTTTGTACTCTTGTTCAGCGACGAAGTACGCGTGCCAACGCTCAGGCGTCATCACCACTTTTGCTCGGCGGAAAATCCTTTTCTTCTTGTTTAGTAAGCGCTTCAAATGGGCGTTAAACCAAGGGGCTTTAGAAGAAGAAAGGATCTGTTTTTTAGGAATGTAGCGGTCAATCAAAAAAGCGACCTTTTCTTTAAACATAAACCAATTTTCTTGAATGGTGCGTGTATAAAAACCAGGCATATAGTCTGTGATGAAATTAGCAAGTTGATTATTTATTGCAGCAAAATTGGCGTTTTTATAATCTTTAATAAATTTAACTTGCTTCGTGCAAGGTAAATGGGCATGAATACTACAGTGAATAAAACAGTGATCACTTAGACCGGGCATAAATACTAGGGGTGAGACGAGTTCTGGAGTGGTCGTAAGCAGCAAATCTAGTACATTGGCAGAATGGGGTGAGCAACGAGTAGGCTGAAGTACCAGTTGCTTAAGGTTAAAATCTAAACAAACATTCAAGAATGACGAACATTCTATTGAATTTTCCACAAGACTTGGCGGGTCAGTAGACCAGATTATAGAAGGCAAGTTAAAATCTCCAAAAAGAAATAAAGGACATTTGGGAAACCGCACAGTCAACTTATTTAGGACATCATGTAATTCTTGACAAAATGCTGTTGAAGACTGTGGCGGTTTATAGCACACACTGAAAATGAACTTTCTATGCCCTGTAAATACACATGCGCTAACAAATTCTAAGTTGGTGTCGACCATAATCGCACTAGAGATGAAAGTATCCCGGACAGCTATCAACACACCACCGCCTCGACTACCAGTACGATCCGAACGATAAATTTTGTAGCCCGCTTCGCAGTGCAATATTTCCCTAATATTAGTAGTAGTAGTAAAGACAGTTTGCTCTAGATGACGAAGGTATGTGACTGGTGCAAACATGATAATCATGAGATACGTATCATGTGACATTATGACTACAAGCCACACTCATGATGCCCTCTCAGCCGTTTCGCTAGCTTCACATACACCAAATTTGGTATTAAGGGACGTTAATGGACGACAAAAGAATGTGGCTGGTGCAAGCATGATAATCATTTTATCCGTGTCATGTAACAACATGACTACAAGTTGCGCTCATGATGCGCTCGCGGCCGTTTCACTAGAATCATATATGCCAAATTTGGTATTCGGTCACGTGAATGAATGACGAAGGTATGTGACTGGTGCAAACATAATAATTATGAGATGCATGTCATGTAAGAGCATGACTAAAATCCATACTCAAGGCGCCAATACATTTTGACGTGATCCGGTGCGCGTGTGCTCCAGAGTTCATTTTGTCGCGTCGTGCCGGCGATGCCACGCCAGGCGCAGATCTGCCAGCCATATTCTCATAGGCACGCGCCGCACTGCGTTGCTTTGACGCATGCGCGTTTGAGCACGGCCGGCGTCCCTTTATCACGAAGCTAGGCAGACGTGGTGCATTATTGGTAACGTGGTTGGTGCGAAATGCAGCAAGTCGCATTTTGCACAGGTTGCCGCCGGGTTGCGTCGACAGACGCTGGTCGCGTCTGGCGTCAGACTACAGAGTGTTAGCGTTTTGCTAGCGTAGCGTCGCTGCGCCCGCGCGTGCTCGTCGAGGTTGCGTCGCAGTATAAGGGCCCCTCATGATGCTTTCGCCGCTGTTTCGCTAGCTTCACATATTTGAAGTTTGGTAGTAGAAGACGTGAACTGACGGCGAAGGTATGTGGCTGGTGCAAACATGATAATCATGCATGATATGCGTGTCATGTAAAAACACGACCACACGCCACGCTCATGATGCGCACGCGGTCGTTTTTTAGCTTCACATATACCAAATTGGTATTGCATGACGTCAGTAGACGGCGAAGGTAAATGAGATGTCTGAACACGATAATCATGATATGCGTGTCAAGTAAAACATGACTGCATGCTGTGCTCATAGCGCGCTCGCAGCCGTTCCGGTAGCTCCATATATAGAAATTTTTGTATCAGGTGACATGAATAGCTTAAGAGAATTTTATTTCTGGATATACCTTACACAGCTTATGTGCACACAGAAAAATGGACAATGGTGAACAATGCGTATGTACAATGCAAGCTGTTATATACAGCGAAAAGAGCTTATTGCATATCCTGTGACGTACAATGCAAAATGGTACAACAAAGACAGGACATTCATCACACCGAGAAGATTAAACTTAAATAAACAGTAAGGCTATGTGAACACACAAGGGGGGGTCATTCACAGTGTAGGGTGATGTTTTGCATTCACCTGTAAAGACAGTTTGCTCTCGTGCTCAAGAACAATATTTCACAAAAAGGACATGTTTTTAAGGAAGAAAAGAAAAAAAAACACTGTAATGTCACCGTGGTACAAGCTCTAGCCCACCTCCTCACTAGGTGAGAAAGGGCATGGACACTCTGTTGTTTTTTACGACAATAAATCGCGTAGACCAGCGTCGGAGGAAAGCCTCCTCTCCCAGCATGACTAGTTCTGCATAAGCATTATGTTTCTTAACCAATGTAGTAGGGGAAACATGGCTCTCTGAGGGCGTCCCCTCAGGCAGGCTAGTCCCCTCCGTTCCATAAGACGAAGGCTCCGATAGCCATTAAGAGTATGACGAAGTTATGCCTGTGGCTAAACTTCCACTCCATACTTATCTGGAACATTCTGGTAACCATGCGCCGAAAGGTGCGCGCTACTATACATTCATGGAAGACATGGTTCAGTGTTTCGACGTGACCGCATTGCGGGCATGTGGCGGAGGGCACCACGCCCCACGCCGCAAGGCGGTCGGCCGTTGGTAAAGCCTCCCATTCCCTAAGCCAGTTTAGGTCACGGACTTCGGAGGGGAGAGACGTGTTTGTAAGAGTCCAACGTCTTTTCGCAAGGGGGCGCTACGAGCGCTTGATGGTGACGGACGCACTCCACATCGCCTCCGTAGATTTTCTGCAATTTCTGCGGACATCCACCTTGGTACCCCTGAAACTTGGACTTATCGTCACCGCCAAGTTCTCCGCTTCACCTAGACAACACCTTCGTCCAGGTGGGTTCAGTTTTGACAACTTGAGGGACGTCCTTCACTCCCGGCTACAACGCCGCCTCGCTAAGGGCTCTCAGCCCCGTGATGGCGGCCGCTAACGTGGTTACGGGCTATAATCCTACCTCAAGCCAAATGCTGTCCATGGAGATTTCATTCTCCGTAAACACTATGCCATCAGAAGACGAATACCTCGACGACATGGTGAGACTGTGGCAACGCAAGCAAGTGAAATCGAAGTCTGCGTCTCAACAACAACGAGACGCCACAGCGGGCCATCATTCCCCAGCCTTGCAAGGATCGCCGGTGCGCCATCCTTCCGGTGGTGTGCCTACTTCTGCTCCGTCCTCGCATCCAGCGAAGCAACGCAAGTGGCGTCCACGTCAAACTCCTCGCCTCTCTCACGACGACTACATCGTAGTAGTGAAACCTCGCGTTCCCTGCGAGCTACGCACATTCGTCCCGGCCGATCGCGCAGACGACGCCATCCGCAGCTACCTCGGCGACCAGACTACCTCGCAAAGTCAAGTGTGGGCGATCTGGGAACAAAACATCTTGGTCTGTAGCACCACCATTTTGCCTATGGCACAGCGACTCCTCGGGGACTTCCAGCTGCAAGTGGGGGATCAGCAGCTGCTCGTTCGGGGCCATGCCAAGGCACCAGGGGATACATGCAAGGGCGTCTTCAACATAAACCCTGCTGAAAGCCCGGAGAAGATAAAGTCAGAACTTTATTGGCCTCGAGGTACTATCCTCGCGGTCCGCAAACTCGGAGATTCCGCGGCGGCGGTGGTGACTTTCGAGGGCACGAAGTTACCCCGCTTCCTCTTGTACCACTGCGTGGCGACGTATATCCGCGTCTACAAGAAAACGGTCCCTGTTTGCACCAAGTGCGGTACCATCGGTCATCAACCACCTCAGTGTCCTCACCCCTCTCCAACCCAGTGTGCCAAATGTGGAACCCCCGCACCTGCAGGTCTCAATGCCCACGACTGCCACCCCAAGTGCGTCCTCTGCCACGGCG